GCAGGAGGAGATGGAGGGGCTGAGCCCCACAGGGATGTGCAGGGGAGCACAGACACTCTGACAGCCGCTGCAGGCACAGCAAACAGGACCTTTCACACCGTTATCTGCTCAAACCTTGTGCAAGAAAAGGAACGTTTCAGAGGGCAGAGAGGAAAGTTTCAGAGGCAGAAAAACGAAAGTTTTAGAGGGCAGAAAAAGGCAAGTTTCACAGGGCAGAAAAAGGAGTTTCAGAAGGCAGAGAAGGAAAAGTTTCAGAGAGCAGAGAACAGCCCAGTAGCAGCTTCTCATCCCCGACAAAGAGCCGGAATTGCTCCCTAAGCAGCCCGGATTCCAGGCTGATGCATTTTTATGACTTGAGCTCACTTCCTCTGAGCTGATAAGATCTCAGGAAAGAGCCCGACGCTGTCCCAGGAGGCYGCAGAGCTTGGCAAGGGACAGGTTTGTCTGTGTCAGCAGCGCTGTAAAARTGTCATTAAAAAACTTGGACGCTCATGATTGTGCCTTTTGCAATTCCACTTCTTCAAATAGTTTTCTTTTTGCGAGATCAGTCCTGGCCAGAGAACACAAAGGCTCCTGGGCTGACCTCACACACTGCTCAGAATCACTGCAGTTTGTTTTTTTTTTTTACAACCTAACTCTTAAAAATTAAGTTCGTTACAGCTAAAATGCAATACAGACAAATTCTGTTYCTGTTAATGATATAAACTCCTCACCAATTACCTATTTCTAAACTATTATTTTCTGTTTCACAAAGACCCCAAGCCCATCGCCAATGAGCTGCCAACAGTTTTCCACATCAACCCAACCTGACAGAGCAAGATTTTTGTAGCATTTTGTGCCATGTGTGATAGGACCAGGAAAGAAGAATTTCAGGAGCAGGGCCAATAAAAACTGGGGATCACAGGGCAGGTTTGGGAACAAAATTAAAAACATAATCTATGACCAAACTAGCAGGTACATTTTAGTTTCCTGCTTTTTKAAAAAATCCACACATTACCTCCTGTCACATTGAATTCAGCAGTGCAGATGTCAAAAATCTGTATTTATTACCCTGATTATGGCTAAGGGCCTAAAGATATCCAAAAGGAGCCCTTACAAGGAGAATTATTTGCAGATTTTGCAAAACTGCAATTTATAAATTTTGCAATTCCCTCCCACACAGGGAATTGGGGCAGAAAGGAGGAACYTGAGCACAGAACTCCTGGCAATGTGTGATGACAGAGGAGGAGTTGGTGGTTCCCAGCCCGTTCCCTGTGTCCTCCCCCAGCCAGGATCCTGTTCTGCCCTGCTGGGAAAGCACAGGCAGTTCTGGCCCTGCAGGAGCTGGCAGCAGCACCCACACCCCGCTCAGGAGGTGCAGGCAGATCCACGGTGCCTCCGGGGCTTTTCCTGCCAGGAGGAAACAGCAGAGACCCCAAAAGCYTCCCCAGCCCCCACCTGAACTGCACCACGGGCACAGAGCCCCTCCTCGGCTGCTACAAACTCCCTCCGAGGGAGGAATTGGGTTTGGCGTAAAGTTTTTGTTTGGGGTAAAGATCTGGGCAAAAGGATTTGGTTTAAGGGAAAAGCTTTGGGCATAAAAATTCAGGTTTRGGGTAAARCTCTAGGCAAAAAGATTTGGTTTASCRGTAAAGATTTGGRMAAAAAGATTTGGTTTAGMAGTAAAGRTTTGGGCAAAAAGATTTGGTTTAGRWGYAAAGATTTGGGCAAAAAGATTTGGTTTAGRWGYAAAGRTTTGGGCAAAAASATTTGGTTTRGMGGTAAAGSTTTRRGCAAAAAKATTTGGTTTGGGGGTAAAGATTTTGGGCAGAAAGATTCAGGTTTAGGGGTAAAGCTTTAGGCAAAATAAACTCCAATTCTTCCAATTTAGGGGACCAGGCTTTGCAACACAGCTGACAACAYCAGCATTCCTGAAATCTCTAAATTGCTGTCCACTGATCTTCCAGACAGACTCACTATGCCCATTTGCCTACAGCCAAGTGGAAAAACATCCCAAAAAATTCTGGGAGGTTTGTACCCACTYCAAACTGAGCTTTCAGCTCAAATTCTACCCAGCCAAGCAGCAGCAAACTCAAGAAATCAAATACTCAGCCAAACATGCAGACCAGGCTGCACCCAGCAGTCTGGGTTTGACCCTTTTTTTGTTGTATTTTCCCTCTTTTGCACCAACACGGAGCAGCAAAACTCGTTTGTATTTTTGATCTCTGTAGTTGCTCCCACTCGGGGGAGGAACAGAAATTGCTGATTTTATTTGAACTTGCCCAAACCCCTCCAGCCTGCACCACGCTCAGGGATCCCAGGGGGAAGGAATCAGGAKGGAAAACACCAGCAGCAGTTTTCCTGGGATACTCACAGCTGGTTGAACATCCTCTTCATCTCATCCGTGATGTTGAGGGAGCAGCTGACCTCATCATCTGAGAACCTCCCATTGTCAGCATCCTGCTCTGACAGCTCCTCATCCGATGGCAGCTTCCGTTCCTTCTTCTTGGAGGCCACCTGGGATGGAGAGAGAGAGCAGAGGTGAGCGGGGCTGGGCTGGGGCAGGGGGAGATCAGGAGAGAAAGGGGAGGGGAGTGCAGGGTGTGAGCGGTGTGAGCATCCAGCAGTGCTGGGAATTGCAGGGATTCCCGGGCAGAATGGAGCGAGRGGCACGGAAAGCAGCTGGGAAGAGCAAAGCAAGCTGCAGGCTGCCAGGAACGCTGCTCTGTGCCCTGAGCCAGCCCCGGAGCTGCACGGGACATGCAGAGGCTGCAGCCAGCAAGGGACAAACAGCACAGAGCAGGGCCACAACTCTCCCTCTCCTGCCACAGGGGCGGCTCCAGCATGGAAAGCCCAGGAAGGAACAGATGGGAAACCTTTCTTTATTCCAGGGGAGTCCCCACCCCAGCAGCAGCAGCAGGATGAGAATCCTCAGGTGGGCACCAGAAAGGCTGGGAATCCTCAGACTGGGAATCCTCAGGGCACCAGAAAAGCTGGGAATCCCCAGACTGGGAATCCTCAGGGCACCAGAAAAGCTGGGAATCCCCAGACTGGGAATCCTCAGGGCACCAGAAAAGCTGGGAATCCCCAGACTGGGAATCCTCAGGGCACCAGAAAAGCTGGGAATCCCCAGACTGGGAATCCTCAGGGCACCAGAAAAGCTGGGAATCCCCAGACTGGGAATCCTCAGGGCACCAGAAAAGCTGGGAATCCCCAGGCTGGGAATCCTCAGGGCACCAGAAAGGCTGAGCCTTGGGAAAGCCTGGAGAGCCTCCAAGAGAGGAGGTTCAGGGAACTCAAGGGACATCCCTGCAAGGGGCACAGAGGGCTGGGAACACAGGAGATCCCAGATCCCACAGAATCCCACAGGGCTGGGAACAGAGAGAGCACAGAGGGCTGGGAACACAGAGAGATTCCTGATCCCACAGAACTCCAGAGGGCTGGGAGCAGAGGCAGCCCAGATCCCACAGGGCTGTGAACACAGAGAGATCCTAGAGGAACCCAAAGAGCTGGGAGCACAGAGGATGTTCCCAGATYCCCCAGGATCCCAGAGAGCTGGGAACCCARAGGATGCTCCCAGAGCCCCAACCACACCATCCCCTCCCAGCCTGGGGYAATTTTCCCTCTGCCTGGCACACAGCCCACCCCTTGCTGGCCTTGCTCTCCAAGAGCTCATTCTCCTGGCTGTTTTAACCCCYGCAGGCCTGACCAAGGTGTGCTCTGCAGCCACCTCTGAGCAGGACTCAGAATTCCCCTCAGAGACAAGAAGGCACCACTGGCACAGCGCAGCGGCTCAACTTGCCAGAGAAATAATTCTCCTCTGAGGAGGTTTGAGCTTTTTGGGGGACATAAAGGGGGAAAATACATCAAACATTTCGGTAACTTCACCAGCAGGGACCATGAGGATCTTTTACAGAGGTTTTGGACAGCAATCAGCACTTTCTGTAGCATCACTATCCAGAGAAAAGCAYCAGATTTACTGCAAGCCTGAACAAGAGACATTTAGATGGAAGCAAAAGGAAGGTGGGGTTAACCAGGGCTGAAACTGCAGCTGTGACAAGAGCAGCTGCCCTGGGAGTGACAGCTTTGCTCCAGGCACAGCCACCACTGCTGCCTTACGGAGCAAATTAAAGGACTTTCCTTCCAGCACCAAGGAGCTCCAAGGARAGCAGCTGGAGCTTGTGTCTCTCCAGAGCTCACAATCACAGAAATTTTATTTTTGGCCACAGAGCTCGAGGCAGAAATAAGAATATTCAGATGACAGCTCCACGAGATTGAAACCTCACAGTTGTGAAGGGAACAAATGGCAGGGAGTAATTACACAAACCTAACCCTGTCACACTGCTTCTCCCCTGCATTCAGTGCAGACTGACAACAGACTCACAGCATGGCTTAAAGATCATCCTGGGACTTCTTTTTTATRAAACTCTCTGCCCTTTGTGCTCCTGGTGCTGCAGCAGCTCCTGYGGCAGAGCTGCACCGGCAGCGAGGGAAATATGACTACAGAGAGAGAGTTCAAGAGACGGCAAAGGACCTGGACCAGCTGCTCAGCACTGCTCCCTCCTGCCCTACCCTATGGAAAATTCAGGGCCTAATCACCTGGAAAATCTTGGAAACGTCTTCCGAGTTGCGCTGCTGCGCGACATCGCACAGCTTGGCCGTGATATCGATTCGGCGGCAGATGTCCATGTCCACCTTCATGGCCTTTTCTTGGATCTTTGTGTCCAGGTCTGTCATGGGCTGCAGGAAGGACAGCAGGGGTTACCTTCTGTTATCAGACAGTTCAGGCAAGAGGAGATACCCCACAGTATCTCTGGAACCCCAGGCACACCACGGCTGGACAGCACCAACCCTGTGCTGCGGGAGGGCAGAGCGGGGCAGTCCCAGGGACTCCACAGCTCACAGGGAGCTTTCATCCCTGATTCTCACCAAATTCCAGCTCACAGGGATTGGCCACAGAAAAAAAAGCTTGCACCCACCCCAAAACAACTGCTCAGTGTGGCCAGGGGAGCCTCGATGGGTCAGGGACAGGGTGGGACAATGGAATGCCCAGAGAAGCTGTGGCTGCCCCTGGGTCCCTGGMAGTGTCCTGGAAGGTTGRACATTGGGGCTTGGAGCCACCYRGGACAGTGGGAGGTGTCCCTGCCATRRCAGAGGGTGGCACTGGATTGTCCTGAAGGTCCCTTCCATCCCAAACCATTCTGGGATTGCATAAATAACACTTTAAAAATGGAGAAACCCCCCTGTGCAGCGTGTGCAGAGCAGAGTGAAACCTCAAACACGGGGATGCAACGCTTCCCCTCTTCCAGACACAAACACAAACACAAACACAAACATGGTGCCTGCAGGGAGGAGCTGCTGCTAAACCAGAGCCCAGGCCAACCCAACTGCACACTGAGCATTGAACCATCAGATCAGGAGTGGATCTCAAGAGATCCATGAAAACCTGGGCACAGAGRATGCTCCTCCCTGGCACTAATCTGGCCTCCAGCCCAGCCAAAATCCTGCAGGAAAAATTCTGCCTGAAAAACCCTGCCTTGTGATAGCTCGAATTTCTAAGAGATGCTCCCACTCAGACAGAACATCTGGCTCCTCATCAAGAAACATTAAAAATCCCCAAAACGTATTTTCCCTCCTAGTCAAGAYTCCTCTGTTGGACAGTCCTAAGCAATGCTTCCACTGGGACAGGAAAGTGCAAAATCCCCTTGCAGACCATTCTTAAACATCAAATCCCCTTTTTAAGAGGAAAGCCTGGGACTTTTGGTTGGTTTGCTTTGCTTTTCCCCACCTTTTCTGTTTGAAACCATTACCCAGAGTCTTCCCCAGCCCCTGTCAATCACCCTTAGAGTCTGAGGTTGTTGTTTTTAATGATTACACAGAGTTTTGTCCAGGCCCTGTCAACCACCTCTAGAATTTGAGCTTTTTGTTTTAAATGATTACATAGAGTTTTCTCCATGCCCTGTGGACCACCTCTAGAATTTGAGCTTTTTGTTGTAAATTACTACACAGAGTCTTCTGCAGGTCCTTTGAACCACCTCTAGAATGTAATTTTTTTGTTTTTAATTATTACAGAGGCTTCTCCAGCCTCTGCCAACCACCTTRGGAGATTTCTGTTTTCCAGACACGCTGAGGAAAAGAAATCTCTCAACACTCCACACAACCCTATCCACTGACCTGGTGATCCTTATCTGCAAGAAGCAAAGAGCCACGTGCCAGCATTCTGCACTTCTCTCTTGTCAATATTTACCCAGTGAGGCTCCAAACGAGCACTCCCTGAGCTTTCTTTGGGTTCTCTTATCCCTTAAAGCCTGCCCAGAGCACTTTCCCTGAGCCCAGGAGGATGTTTGCCTTCTCCACCGCTCCCTTTTCGCACACACGGAGCAGCGTCAGTTCCTCTTCCCCGAGCAGCTTCTCCCTCCCTCCAGCCGAGCAGCCTCGATGAACCCCCAGAAGGAGACACAAATTGCCAAATTTCCCATGAGCAGATCTAGTGGCCATGAGAGAATGGATTTGACACCTGCGAGCGAGTTCTGCAGGTTTCTGTGACRGCAGGACAAGGCTGCTGTGTGCAAAAATCACGGAATAAATCAGCGGAACAGAATCACAATAAATCAGCACTGATTCCTTACATCAGTGGCTTCAGCACCGCCTCAGATTTACTGAGAAAGGCACCTGAATGTTCACCCAGCTCATCTTCCCAGATATCTGTGAGAACATGCTCTCACTGTTTAAACAGGAGAAAATTATCCAGCCACAGCCTAAAAGATCCTCTGGCTTTGAAGAGAACTCACTAACTAAGGAGACATGAGGACATTCCTGAGAGAACAAGTCCCCATTTTTTTTTTGTTTTGTTTTTTTGAAGCCATTAGATTGAACCAGCCCTGTAAACAAAGCCAATAGCTGAACCAAGATTTTGGTATTCTGGATCCAGRATTTGTGGATTCATCTTTTCAGAGCCCCATTAAGGGAGGTGGGAAA